GGACAATGGTGGGAACAGTGGGGACAGTGGGACAGTGGTGGGGACTGGGATTGTGGTGGGGATGGTGGTTGGTGGGGACAGTGGTGTGGGGACAGTGGGACAGTGGTGGGAACAGTGGGGACAGTGGGACAGTGGTGGGGACTGGGATTGTGGTGGGGACGGTTGGGGTGGGGACAGTGGTGTGGGGACAGTGGGACAGTGGTGGTGGTGGGAACAGTGGGGACAGTGGGGCAGTCGTAGGGACAGTGGTGGGGACAGTGGTGGTGGAGACACCGGTAGTGACCCCCCCCGGTTTTCTGGAGGGGGGGGGTCTCGAACCGGTAGTGACCCCCCTCGGTTTTCTGGGGGGGGGGGGGGGCGGGGGGGGTTCGAACCGGTAGTGACCCCCCCCGTTTTCTGGAGGGGGGTGGGGGTGTTCGAACCGGTAGTGACCCTTCCGATTTTCTGGGGGGGGGGCTTCGGTTAGGGGGGGGATTTGCTGGGGGAGGGGGCGGGGGGCGGGGTTCCAGCAGGGGGGGGAGATTTTTGAAGGTAGAGGGGGGACCCCAGGTTTCGGAGGAAGAGGGGGGGGGAATTTTCCACAGTAAAGCGGCGATGGATCGCGCTCTCTCCCGAATCTGGATCCATGTGGGTTCAGATCGCTTTTCGAGGATCGAGCTGTTGGGACGTACGTGGCTTTTTTTTGAGTCTCCCTCTGCCTCCCTGTGGAGGGCTACGGAGGCCTCGGGTGACCTCAGGAGACCTCCAGTGGTCATTTTCGTGGTGGTCACAGACGCGGGGGTCGTCGTCGATATTTCCCCACCATCTTGTGTTGTTGGGTCCTCATCTTGAGTTCGCAGCGACCCGCGTCCTCACCTCCCCCCGCTGCCCCCCCCCTCTCTCTCTCTCTTTCCTCTTCTTGCCTCTGCTCTCCGCCTGCCCAATTTAGCACGCCCCTCGCACGTTTCGTGGCCCCGTAGGGAGCTCCACTCAATGCCCCCATTGCACAGATCGCATGCGTCCCCCCCGCCAAGCTTGGCACACCCTTCACACGTTTCGTGGCCCCATAGGGAGGGCCACCCAAGGCCGAGAGCCCCTGTGGCACAGTTCGCGTGCGCCTCCCGGCTCATCTCGGCACACCCTCGCACGTTTCGTGGCCCTGGGAGCACCACCCGAGGCCACGTTTCGTGGCCCTGGGAGCTCCCCCCGAGGCCCCAGCGGCTCAGTTCCAGTGTGTCCCCCCCCGCCCTGTCCTTCTCCTCCTCCTCCTCCTCCTCCTCCTCCTCCTCCTCCTCCTCCTCCCAGTGGCACCGTGCGCAGGTGCCCCCCCGCCCTTTTCGGCGCATCCCTCACATGCACCGTGGCCCCCTGGGGACGCCTGATGCCCCAGCGGCCCAGTTCGCCTGCGTCCCCCCACGCCCACTTCGGCGCACCCCTCACGCGTTTCGTGGTCCACGTCGGGAGCTCCACCGACACCCCAGTGGCGTAGTTCGCATGCTCCTCCCGCCCCCGCCCGGCGTGCCCTCGCCCGTCAGGGAGCTCCACCGAGTGGCGGGGTGCGCACGGCGAGCCAGCCCCCCAATTCGGCACACCCTTCACGCGGTTCGCGGCCCCGCAGGGAGCTCCACCGGAGCCGCCAGTTCGGCGGCGAGCGAGGGGGGAAGTGAGGAGGAGAAGGCCTTCTCAGAAGGCGGCGGGACTTCTCAGGAGCCCTCGCGCACTTCTGAGAAGTTTTTCCGAGCCAACCTGTGGCGTGGGGTCCTCGTTTTGCTCCTCCTACCTCCCGTCCCCACTGAAGGCCCCGGTGGGGGTGGCCACATGCGTCCCGGAAACCAAACTTGGCATATCCACGCAGCCAGTACAGCGTTTCGTGGCCCCATAGGGAGCTCCACCGAAGCCCCCAGCGGGACCGTCCGCATGCGTCTCGAAAGCCCAATTTGGTATTTTCACCCAACCAGTGCAGTGTTCGTGGCCCCATAGGGAACTCCACCGAAGCTCCCAGTGGGACCGTCCGCATGCGTCCCGAAAACCCAATTTGGCATTTTCGCCCACCCAGAACAGCGTTTCGTGGCCCCATTGGGAGCTCCACCAAAGGCTCCAGTGGGACCGTCCGCATGCGTCTCGAAAACCGAATTTGGCATTTTCACCCACCCAATACAGCGCTTTGTGGCCCCATATGGAGCTCCACCGAAGGCTCCAGTGCCACCGTCCGCATGCGTCTCGAAAACCGAATTTGGCATTTTCACCCACCCAGTACAACGTTTCGTGGCTTCATAGGGAGCTTCACGTAAGGCCCCCAGTGGGACCGCCCGCGTGCGTACCGAAAGCTAAATTTTGCATTTACACTCAGTACAGCTGCTCGTGGCCTCATAGGGAGCTCCACAGAAGCCCCCAGTGGGACCGTCCGCATGCGTCCCGAAAGCCCAATTTGGCATTTTCACCCAGTGTTTCGTGGCCCCATAGGGAGCTCCACCGAAGCTCCCAGTGGGACCGCCCGCATGTGTCCCGAAAACTCAATTTGGCATTTTTACCCATCCAGTACAGCGTTTTTTGTGGCCCCACAGGGAGCTCCACCGAATGCCCCCAGTGGGACCGTCCGCATGCGTCCCGAAAACCCACTTTCACCCACCCACTACAGCGTTTCGTGGCCTCATAGGGAGCTCCACCGAAGCCCCCAGTGGGACCGCCCGCATGCGTATCACACACCCATTTTTTGTGTTTTCACCTACCCAGTACAGTGTTTCGTGGCCTCATATGGAGCTCCACCGAAGCTCCCAGTGGGACCGCCCGCATGCGTCCCGAAAACCCAACTTGGCATTTTCACGTACCCAGTACAGCGTTTCGTGGCCCCATTGGGAGCTCCACCGACGGCCACAGCGCTACCACCCGCATGCGTTCCCCCCTACTCAGTGCAGCGCTTCGTGGCCCCATAGGAGCTTCACCGAAAAAGATGATTCACAGTTGCGGTACCCACAACTGCATACGGTTGGGTCCTTCGCCAGGATCGTTTCTTGTCTTCGGGCAGGGCTCAGAAACCTGCTCAGAAGGCCAGGGGACTTCCGAGCCTTCTGAGAGAAGGCCTCCTCCCTCTCACCTTCCCCCCTCGCTCGCCGCCGACCAGTGGCAGGGTGCGGCATGGCCATGGCGTGCCCGCCCCCACATCGGCACACCCCTCCATCGCTGCGCGGCCCCCGCCGGCAGGAGCTCCGCCGAAGGCTCTCCAGTGGCATAGGGGGGGGGCATGGCGCGCCCGAGCCCCCACTGCGGTGCAGCCCTCGCACGCTTCGTGGCTCCACCGTAAACCCAAGACTCACCATCGATGTTGCAATAAGCCCTCCCTCCAAGCTCTGTCTTCACAGGTCCCCACAAGGGTTCGCTCTCTCTCTCTCTCTCTTTCTCTCTCTCTCTCTCTCTCTCCGAAGGAGGTTCCCCGCTGGAAGACGAGTCGTTACCCTCGCTCCTTCCGCCTGTTTTTTTGCGTGAGCCTGCGCGCGCGTTGCCGCGCTGGCAGGAACTCCACCGAAGGCGGTAGTCACGACTGCACATGGTTCGTGTGTTTCGCCGGGCTAGCTCTCATCTTTTGGGGCTCCCCGAGGGGCGCTCGTCGATCCTGCCTCGCAGCGCGCGAGCCGCCTCGAGGTCGGGCGGCCGATCCTTTTACGACGTTTCCAGAGTGCAGAAGGCTTCCTTGCCCAGACCCCCGGAGTTGCAGCAAGGCCACGGCGGCCGTGTTTCCCACATGCTACAGTGGAGATTTGGCTTTCTTCTCGCCCGCGCTCCTTTCCTTTCCTTTCCTTTCCTTTCCTTTCCTTTCCTTTCCTTTCCTTTCCTTTCCTTTCCTTTCCTTTCCTTTCCTTTCCTTTCCTTTCCTTTCCTTTCCTTTCCTTTCCTTTCCTTTCCTTTCCTTTCCTTTCCTTTCCTTTCCTTTCCTTTCCTTTCCTTTCCTTTCCTTTCCTTTCCTTTCCTTTCCTTTCCTTTCCTTTCCTTCCTTTCCTTTCCTTTCCTTTCCTTTCCTTTCCTTTCCTTTCCTTTCCTTTCCTTTCCTTTCCTTTCCTTTCCTTTCCTTTCCTTTCCTTTCCTTTCCTTTCCTTTCCTTTCCTTTCCTTTCCTTTCCTTTCCTTTCCTTTCCTTTCCTTTCCTTTCCTTTCCTTTCCTTTCCTTTCCTTTCCTTTCCTTTCCTTTCCTTTCCTTTCCTTTTTCCTTTCCTTTCCTTTCCTTTCCCTTTCCTTTCCTTTTCCTTTCCTTTCCTTTCCTTTCCTTTCCTTTCCTTTCCTTTCCTTTCCTTTCCTTTCCTTTCCTTTCCTCTCCTTTCCTCTCCTCTCCTCTCCTCTCCTCTCCTCCTCCTCCTCCTCCTCCTCCTCCTCCTCCTCCATCGTTCTACAGTGGGGACGCGCATCAAGAAACCGAGCGTTTTTCGTCAGAGTTCCCTGGGCTTCGTTCCGCGCGTTGCGCGATGGCTTCGCGCGGGCGTCAAGATACCCTGGGTTTTCTCCCAGCTGCACCTGGCGCGAGCAACGCCCCGCTACCGAAGAAACTTCGTGGCGCCAAAGGCATCTTTAGTTTCTTGCGTCCGCGCGGATTCGGCTGGGAGGGAGGAAGAGTCAACGGAAAAGGGAGCAATGATCGACGGAAAAAGGCCCCCAGGTTTCTTCCACGGCGTAGTTCCCGCCGAGAATTGGCGCGGCGGGGGGTGCGGAAGAACCTTCGCTGATTTTCAGGGTTGCATGTCTTGCGAGGGTTTCTTGCGGCCGCGGCTCCACTGTACCAGCTCTTCCTCCTCCTCCTCCTCATCATCCCGTTCTCCTCCTCCTCCTCCTCCTCCTTTTTCTACTCCTCCTCCCCCTCCTCCCCCTATTCCTCGTCGCCATCCCCTTCTTCTTTGAAGGCGGGCGCGGCAGGGGTGGCCCTCCCCCTCCGCCCGAGGGGGGGTTCGCGGGGGGGGGGGGGGGGGGGGGGGGCTGCTGCGTGGCTCCTCGCCCCACCGAGCGAGGCGTCCTCCCCCGCGGCCCCCCTGCCGCGGTGTTTCTCCCCGCCCAGAGGGGCCGTGCGGGGGCTGGTCCCTTACAGTGGAGGCCCAGGCCAGGAGGCACCCTGCTGGCCTCCAGGGTGTCCTGGGCCTCTTGGGCTTCCATGGTCCTGCCATGGACAGCGTGACGTCCCCACGCCCCACAGTCAGGGGACGTCCTCGGGGGTCTCAGGGCTTGGCTTCTCGTGGATGGTTTCTTGTGGTCGGGCCCCCACAGTCAACCCGCAAAGTAAGGACGGGCAACCTTCCCAAGGATACCGTCGCATCCTTGCCTCCTCGGTCTATCCTTCGTCGCTTTCGCTGGCCGTGCCCCGCTCGAGAAGCTTCGAAATGGGCGTCCAAGGCCCTTGCATCCTTATCGCGCATCCTTACCATACTGGTTGACTGCAGTGGAACGCGCTCGTCTAATGGGGTGTGGAGGGAGGATCGGAGGATGATGATGAGGAGGAGGAGGAGGTGGATGAGGAGGTGGAGGAGGAGGAGGAGGAGGAGCTCCGTACTGTAGCTCCGTGGCTCCTCGTCGGGCTCAGAGAGGCGCTCTCCCACGCGGCCGCTGCCACACCGCCTCCACTCCTGCACGGGGGCTCCTTGGCGCAACGCCCCGCTCGAGAGGCGGCGCCCCGCGCGGGCGAAGGCACAGCGGGAGCCCTCCTCCTCCTCCGCCTCTCCTCCTCCTCCTCCTCCTCCTCCCCCTCCTCCCCCCTATTCCTCTCCTTCCTCCCACTCCTACCTCCTCCTCCTCCTCCTCTCCCTCCTCCTCCTCTTCCTCCTCCTCCTCCTCCTCCTCCTCCCTCCTCCATCCTCCCTCCTCCCACCTCCTCCCTCCACCATCCTCCTCCTCCATCCTCCTCCTTCTCCCTCCATCCTTCCTCCTTCCTCCCTCCTCTTCCTCCTTCCTCCGTCCTCCTGCCTCCCTCCTCCCTCCCTCCTCCTCCCTCCCCCTCCTCCTCCTCCTCCTCCCTCCCTCCTCCTCGCTCCTCCTCCTCCTCCTCCTCCTCCCTCCTCCCCTCCCTCCTCCTCCTCCCTCCTCCTCCCCCCTCCGCCCTCCTCCTCCTCCTCCTCCTCCTCCTTCTCCTCCTCTCCTCCTCCTCCTCCTCCTCCTCCTCCTCCTCCTCCTCCTCCTCCCCCTATTCCTCGTCTTTCTCCTCCTCCTCCTCCTCCTCCTGTGCTCTGGAGGCGTGCCCGTAAGATGCCAGCGCGCAGTGTGCGGGCTCCCTCGGTAGCGTCATTCTTTCGGTCCGGGCCTGTTGCGGCGGCGAGCGAAAGGGGGGAGGCGCGGAGGAGATGACGCCCTCACCAGTCGGCGGGGCTTCTCAGGTCGGGAGCGAAAGAAGGACGCACACGTACATGAATCCACGCTGGTTTCGAGAGTACGCATTGCGCAAATGTTCGTATAATGCGGCCGGTCTCGCGGATCGAGGGGCCGTTTTCATGTACATAGCTGGGCGCGTACGTCCTTTTGTGGCCTCCAGATCAGGAGCCCTCTGGCCTTCGGGGAAGTTTTCGGTGTCTTCGGGGGAGGCTTCGAAAACTCGTCCGAAAACTGGGGAACTTCCGAGCCTTCTGTGAGGAGGCCCGCCCCTTCTCACTTGCCCCCTGGGCGCGCCGCCTATTTCTGGAGGCCCGGGCAGTAGCGCGAGTTCTTTGTCCGCCACTCAGGCGATCGCAAACATGGATCAAGGGGGCGTGGATTAGCGACGGGTCCCGTTTCCATGGGAAATCACGGATTTCCGCCGCCGAACGAGGCGGCACTGGCCGCGTTTTGGAGAGGGCGCCTCCCCCGATCCATGAATTTGGCGATCGAGCGCCGAATCCATGGATCGCGAATCCGTGTTTGCGCGCCCCCGAGCCACAGCTCCTGGTGCAGAGTTTGGCGCCAGCTGTGGAAGCAGGTGGTCCGCTCCCGTCTTCTCCCGCAGGAGAAAACGGTAAAATTTGGAGGCCCGGGCGAGGGCTCCAGAGCAGCAAAAGCCGACCCCGGACGAGAGAGTGTTCCCGGGGTCTAGGGTCGAGGAGGAGGAGGAGAAGCAGGAGGAGGAGGAGGAGGAGGAGAAGGAGGAGGAGGAGGAGGGGCCCACGACCTGAACGCATCACGGCGTCGGAGGTTCTTGGGCCACTGACCAGGGGGGGGGGCCTGGCACCTCAGTGGCAGAGCTCCGCGGACCCTTCCTCGGAGTCCGCGGGCTTTCCGTGTTAGGCGGGCCCCCTAACCCGATGGCCTCGTGCGCGCCGCCGCAGTCCCAAAAAGCGCTTGACGACTTCTCCGCCAGTCGACTTGCGGGGATGGAGCCAGACGAATCCAGGTAGATGCAGATAAATCGAGGCAAATCCGGCAGATCCGAGCAATTCCAGGGATATCCAGAGATCTCCAGGGAAATCTGATGCACATCGCGGCCGCTCCAGCGCGCGTCGAGGGACGGCCGAAGTCGTGAAGCCCTCAGCGGCAGAGGTGGGGCGGCGGCATCATGGGCATCAAGTCCCAGCACGTCATGCAG